CAAAATTATGTTCATAATTTAATTCCGTATTTAGAAGAGCTAGTAATTTGAGATCTGTTCGCGTGGGTATTTCCTTCCATTTACAATTTTTTTTTTTAAATTGTCACCTATAGAACGCAATAGTCTTCGCTGCGCATTATATATAATTAGCCAATTTTGAGGATAATCTTACGATTCTAAAACAATATCGATTTAATCTAAATTAGACTGGATCAGAAGTCACATAAATTTTAGATAACCGTCTTATTAAGGTGACAGTCAATTTGCAGGGTATAGAAGTATAACACCTGAAATAACATATATCACAACCATCAATCACAGATTTATTCTGTAATGTCTATATGCGACGGTTATGGTTCCGTCCAACCATCCTTGTCAGCCATTGCGAGTTACATAAAAAAATATTAGATTACTAGCGACTTCGTCCATATGACCGGGATAAAAAATAACATACGTCTTTCTCCATTCCATATAGTACGTATACACCAAATTTCATGATTGGGAAAACCGTTATGGTGTAAAAGTAGTAGCAAATAAATCCACTTTCACATTTATTATTAAGAATAATCGTCTTGTATTGACACTGTTGACAACCCTAAAGAAATGCGCAAGAATGAAAGCAGTACGCTCGAAGCCCACCAAATATATTGAGACGTGTCCCTCGAACTTTAAACAACGTCGTTTCACCGACTTCAGGGTTGCGCAGCAAATAACGAATGTTTTATATCTGAATAGATTTACAAAATAATATTGACACGTGAACGCATCACGAGGCTGATGCGGTGGTGTGGATAAAAATATTTTTACTGGCAACATTAAGCAACGTCTGTTTTTATTTCCTTTTTGCGACGGTAACTTGTAAATGCAATATGTTTAAATGCGTTTTATATTATTGTGTGCCGCGATATTGAAAAACTTTTGGATAGGTATACAGACATATAGGTAAACATAGAATCACGTCATAGATTTCTCAGTCTGTCTGTATTTTATATTATATACATTTGTCAGTCTAGGTAAAGGCTTCACATACTTATCCACATCTCTCGTTTCATCCACTTTCATAACTCGTCCAATGCATGCCACACCAGTTTCAGAAACTTTCAACTTTCCTGTATCATAATTTGCGTTCGAATGTAATAATTTAAGAAGTTGTTTCCCAAAAAGAAACAAAATAAATAGTTATAGCTCATTTGATAAATATGACGATCTGTTTAGAATTGACGAATCTACTTCATAGTTGATAAAAAAAAAACTTAAATTGTAAACATTGTTTTTACACGTTTGAAGTATGTAGATAAAAATCATAGATGTAGTACGTACGTACTTACTACTTACTGAGAGACTGGCAATACAATCACAAAAACGAGACAAGTAAGTGAATCTAAATATATATAAATTTTAGTTATATTACTTTATAAAAAAATGCATTTTCATTTGTAACAGAACTTATGGCTGGACTAAGTACTACATTCACTTAAAATTAATTCCATTTCAAAACGTACTTTTTATTTTTTTCTTTTATACAACTTAGAATGGCAAACAAGCTGACGGCCCACCTGATGTAAAGTGGTAACCGTCGCCTATAGACATGAGCAGTACCATGGACATAACAGAGTATACTGTTTCGCCCATGATACCCCCCTTGCGTTGCCATTCCTGAGGACTCAGGTGTTATTCCTCTGTACCCTATAAATTTACTGCCATATCCCACCCTTCAAACCGAAACACAGCCATGCAAACACAACTGCTTCACGGTTGAAACACGAATGGGACAGAGGTACCTAAGCAATCGACTTTTGTACAAAGTCTCCCTCTGGTAAAACAAACTCCCGCCAAATCAGCTTCGAGCATATATTGTGCAAATTATTGTCCTATTGTCCATCTCGGTCTCACATATAGATTATTATATTTTCTCTCTTTTACAATGGCAATTTATATACTTCATAATCTAATATACAAACAATGTATCCCAGATTCAAATGTGACCTTCTGCAGTAAAATGCATAACAGTTTTAAGATATCTAATGGAGACACGAGTACACCGGACGCCACGTCGAGGGACCGGATGTGTTCATTGTTTTACTGCCGTTTTATAATCCAACGCTGTAATCGTTGCGGTCCTAAGACAACTCTGACCTCTTTGTAACCGACTTAAAAACAGGAGGATGCTTTTAACACATTAACTGATGATCCTGTTTAAATGCCTGCCTCAGTTCAGAATTATATGGGAGTCGTAATAATAAGCAATGGTGTGTGGATTTCATCGACTCGCGAGACCGGTACATGCGTAGTCCCGAAACTGTAAGTAGCGGCATACAAGTTGAGAAACAATACTGAAACGACCTACTAAATGTGACCAGTGAGTTCCTAGCAGTTCAAACGTTAATTCGACCAGAGAATCGGTAATAGTACTTTTTGCATGTCGATCACTCTCTAGTTACCCCCATTCCTTAGTTGACTTCATCCCCTATCTGTGATTCGAATATGACCTCTACGCGGTTTCATTTAGAAACCATAACTATTTATGACGATTTCGTCTCGATGAACCAACTGAGCCGACTTTACTTACTTATACTCCACATACTAATTTAATCATTGAAGTGTTACACTCTTATATCAGTCCCATATCAAGTTTGTCAAGCCTGAGAGGAAGTGTTTTTTTTTTTAATAATTTGTATGGTCAATTTGCATGCTTACACGATATCCTTGAATCATTATGACAGTGCATTTTGCATATCCGGCATTCCGGTTCACGTAACTTGGCGACGGGTGCCACCCACATGATAAAACTCACGAGAAATATTCCGATTTTTATACCCCAATAATATCATAAATATGGAAGGATGTAAAGATGTTTGGAAAAAAACGAATTAAAAGAATTTGATGCTTTAGTATGTTAAAAAAATTATAAATAACAAAATGAATTAACACCATTTCATCTATAAGTGACGAATTTATAGATACGTTTTCGTTACCTTACGTATGAGAAAGAATAAGATGTCGGATGTGGCTGTCTCGTTCCATATATGCAAATACAAAAACATTCATTTGCCAGCTGCCTAGAGGGACTGGTTCTCTAGACAAGTGGCAAGCGAATCCGTTGATAGAATCGTCATCGTTTGCGAGTCCATGAGATAGAATGAGATAACAACATCCGACGTCTCATTCCAACTCGTGGATTCGCATGTTATAACTATTCCATCACTAGATAAGCTTACCACTTGTCTAGGAACCCATTCAAATTCTATTATTTATTATGTTCCACAAAAAAAAACATTAACCTCAATCGTGGTTGAATAAGTTATATTGATTTAAAAACTAAACTATTAAGGAGATTTTAATAAAATTTTAAACCAATCTGAAAATATAACCTTTGACATAAGAAAAAGAATTTTCCAAACCAGTTTTAAACGGATGAATAGAACTATACAACCGAATTCACCTTATCATTCTTTTAGAAGTCGGTTGAGGAGCTATTCACATTCACGCCAGGCTTCAGTCGATTCTACATACTGAATATCTTGTAATTACAAGACAGGCACAAAGGATGAAATTACTGAACACCAGCTAAGTATTTATGAGAAGCGAACATGTTTACACTGAAGCTTTATACTGTGACACCGAGGTATATCGTGTTACACATATACTAAGCGCACGGAGGTTAATTCGAGTCACTACCAATTCCACTTATTAGATTATGGGGATTATCGCGCGCTGAAACGTTGACGAATGCGACGAAGCTGTTTGGGGGATAAATAGATTGATATCTCTTTTATTTGATGACGACAAATTGTTTTCGGCCATAAATACTACATTCACGACTGTTATCCTGGATGGGGTGGTCAGAGGAATAAATTGCCTTAATTGTGTTATTTTTCTGTGTTATTCTGTACTACTACTAGACTACTTTTGGAGTAGACTCCATTCTAAATAGAACGTATATAATAAACTTCATGATGATTAATTGAACCGTTAAGGCACTAAATAGAAACAAACAGACTCATTTTCACATTTAGGTATAATTTTAGTAAAATTATTAATACCTATCCAACTATCCAGTTCGACTAAGCACAGGTAGATATAATTTTAGAAAATAATATAAAGCCTATGTTATTATACAATGATAATACAGATTTCTATAGGTAAAAGAATTTTTAAAAGCGGTCGAGTAGTTTTAGAGTTTATCCATTACAAACACACAAACAAATCTTTCCCCTTTATAATATTAAGTACAAATAAAATCTACCGTATCGAATTGTAATCGGTGATATTTCCTACTAATGTTATGAGGAAAATGGGAAAACAGATATTTGTATATTTGATACTGAATAACAGTTCAGGGAAAGCTGAAGGTATTGTAATGATTCTCAGATAAAACATATTTCATATTAATCCATATTTTTTATCCTTTTACCCTGATACACGTGAACAAAATCGTACATATTACATTTGCTACTGTTATTAAATGAAATAAAAAGGTTTTTTTTTCTATTTACTAGATAACCTTCCCTGATAGATAATTATACCAATTGGATACATCATAAATGAACACATTTAATTCACATTTAACCATGGGGACAAGAATGATAATTATACAAGTTAGAAAGTCTATTATTTCCACTGACGAGCATGTTGTTTTTGATATTTCTACAATACACATTAATATCTTGTTCGTCTTAGAATTTTGAATATATAAACAGTTTGTTGATGTATCATACGTTGCGAAGCTATACAGAAATAATTAATGTTTGTTTTTTTACGCAACTAGTAAACAAGCTGACGTACCACCTGATGGAAAGTAGTAACCGTCGCCTATAGACATGAGCAGTACCATGGACATAAGAGTATACTGTTTCGCCTATGATACCCCCCATGCGTTGCCAATCCTGAGGACTCAGGTGTTATTATTCCTTTGTACCCTGTAAATTCATTGCCATATTCCACCCTTCAAACCGAAACACAGCCATGTAAACACAACTTTTTTTTTTTTTACAACACAGGGGGCAAACGAGCATGCGGCTCACCTGACGGCAAGTGACCACCGCCGCCCACGGTCACCCACAACACCAACGGCATTGCAGGTGTGCTAATGCTTCACGGTTGACTGCAAACGACTTTTGTACAAAGTCAATGTTGTTAATTAATTATATATTAATTAATTGAATTCTATGTATTGTATGTCATATGTGTTTTATATAAAACATATATCTTTAATAAAGTATTTACAAACATAATTCGAGAGTTTAACTCATCCCCAACCTCCCACCTTACATGGCGACCCTGCCAGAATTTGGTGGTCAAGTCGCGACACCTAGTTAGCGCGTAACTTAATATAATATAATTTAATAACCATTGCTAAGTTAAACCATAATAAGTGTAAATGTGACTAATGAAAAATGTCACTTTTACTGCAATAATGTGAGAGAGGGACGATTATTTATTGCCCAATATGCAACGTGTGCAGAAATTCCACAGTAATTAAACTTCAGTACCGGTAATAGAGAGAAGTTATTATTTCCATTACGCGAAGTTATGGCATACGACACATACTGTAACTTTTAAGAAGAGACGAACATGTTCAGCTCTAGAGATAATAATATATATATTGGACAACCAATATACAATATATCTGTTATTGGGCCAATATATGTATAGATATTACTAAAATATATATATAGATATTGCTATATATTATCCACCCCTATTCAGTATAAAGCTGCAACAATGAGTTTATCACTAGGTTTTTTTTATGGGTGAAAATGGAATGGTAGTAACCAGGAGCACCAGTGAAGGGTGACAGATGAGAATGAAAACAGGCCAGTTAGTCCATCATGATGAATTCATCAGGAATTAACCATGATAGTTTCCAGGGGGAACCGCGAGGAGGTCGACCTGGTTGGGTATATTGCTAGCAATGGGATACTCAGTCTCCATTACTAACAATCCCTTTCCCATTCATGCCACTTGGTTATATCAGTTATGACGACGAAAAGTCATAATCAGTGTGAAGTCATATATTATGTGAGTCCGTGTGGTCCCAGCATAGAATAGGCCACCCCCTTCTTGTCCCATGGGTGTCATAAGAGGAAACTGAGTCCCTCTTAAAACAACATCTCCAAAGCCCTACTGCGGTTGCCAATCCGCCTGCTTAGCGTGACAACTACTGGCAAATCCCCCCCTCTCCCATGGGAGAGGCTTATATTCAGCAGTGGACAGTTAAAGGCTGATATGGTGGTGATGTGAGTAACATTACATTATGTGAGTAACAGAGAATATACCTAAACACCCACTATAGTATCGTTAAGTTCTTATTATCTTTTATTAATTTACTTCACAGACTAAAAGGTTATCGATGGGATTGTATTTTTGTGTACGTTACATTATATCTTCGCAAATTCTGTACTAAATTTTATTTTTAATTGGAAATGTTTATTACTGTACTGGTTCCTACACATTAATACTAACTTTTACCCGCGACTTTGTTTGCGTGACTGGTACAAAACGTAGCCTATATCCTTCTCCATACCATATAGTACGTGTATACCAAATTTCATATTTATTGATAAAGCTGTTAGGGTGCTATAAGGTAAAAAAAAAAAACACCCTTTCACATTTGTAAAATTAGCAGGGTTTGTTGAATATTTTATAAAATAAATTATATACATACATTTACGAACATAACATTTACCAGAGGGAGACTTTGTACAAAAGTCGATTGCTTGGGTACCTCTGTTCCATTCGTGTTTCAACCGTGAAACAGTTATGTTTGCATGGCTGTGTTTCGGTTTGAAGGGTGGGATATGGCGTGAATTTACAGGGTATAGAGGAATAACATCTGAGTCCTCAGGAATGGCAACGCATGGGGGGTACCATGGGCGAAACAGTATACTCTGTTATGTCCATGGTATTACACATGTCTATAGGCGACGGTTACCACTTTCCATCAAGTGGGCCGTCAGCTAGTTTGACATTCTAAGTTGTATAAAAAAAACACAATTTTGTAAATACTTTATAGGTACTTGTTCGATCTACATGGTATTAAAAAAATAAATTGAATGTAAGATAAACTGTGGTATCAACCCTAAAAGCGTCTGAGACTTCGGGGCGATTATTTGAAAGAAATAGCAATATTATTCGCTTTATTTTATAGGAAAACTAGTTTTTACTCGCAACTTCGTCTGTATGATCGGGATATGTCGATTGACAGTAACAAATAGTAGACCAGAGATGCTCAAACAGTGGATCGTTTCACTTTGACTAAAAAAATGCATATTGTGTGGAAAATTTGTATCTATGCACACACTACCTAGATGACAATTCTGCATCACACATACTTGCAGCCTCTTAGAGTCAATCGTTCGTAATTTAGCAATATCGTGGTGGATCGTTAGTAGTTCAAGTTTGAGCACCACTGTAGTAGGCTATACCCTTCTTCAACCCATAAGTAATGGAGACTGAGAACCCCATTGCTAGCAATATATCCAACCAGGTCGACCTCCTGGCGGTTCCCCCTGGAAACCATCATGTTTAATTCTTGTCGAATTAATCATGGTGGGCCAACTGACCTGCATTCATTCTCACCTATCATCTTTCACTGGTGCCTCGTCGGTGTATACCGATAGCGCGGGCGGGGTTACCATTCCATTTTCACCCATTAAAAAAAAACCCATAAGTAGTACAAGTGTCTATATGAAATTTCAAGACGATTTGATTCGTTAAGGCGCCAAATATTATTATTATCTTTTCTATAAGCATTTTATTTCTTTTTTTTTTTTTGAGTATATATCTATTTGTTGTTAACAAATAACAATGTGTGTAATGTAAATAAATTATATATCTGTCTATCTAACAAACAAACAAATAAACAATCTCACTTTCACATTTATAATATTAAGAAGGATTAATATTTCAATATGATATATTTTATTGTATTCACAATTAAAATAAATCTACCAATACATAATATAAAAAGTGAAAGTTTGTATAGATATTTGGACAGTTAGATGTGTTGATGTTTATTACTCGATCACGCCTAAACAGCCGCAAACGATTGCATGATACAGTAGAAAAAAAAATTACTAAAATGTAACTGTTACTCATTCATTTATGACTCAATAAATATTTGATCGTGAGAAATTAATAACTGTGATTACAAGATTGACTTCGTATCGAAAAATCTCACTCAATGTATTGAGTGAGATTTTTCGATACAAAACTGTCAAAACGTCTGTCGTATACACACACACATGCACAAGCACACCCCTTTTTCCGCGATTCTTGTGGACAAAGCCGCAGGTGGGAGCAGGTATATTTCAATGAAACTTAATGAAAAAGCACACATGTTTTGTTGTAATTATCACAGACAAACTGTCACACGGGGGGGGGGGGGAGAGAGATTGTTAGTAACACGGACTACCAATCCCATTTAGCTTAACCCATTCCTTCCCACTGTCCTATTTTTAGGACACTATATTAGATTTTTTCTATCAAAATATTTTTTTTTGGTAGTAAAATATATTTACATCATTTTAATATATATTTTTAAAGTTGATCAATTTTGGTGAGTTAAAAAGGGCATTAGTTTTCATTTTATATATTGTATAACGAAAAAAAATACTTAGTTTAAAGTGCATAAAAACAACTTTATTATCTTTACTAAATATGTAATAACTAAAATCAGTTACAAAAAAAAATATAGAAACATGTTATATAACTTCAAAATGAACCGTACTATAAATATGACACTGGGAACATGTGTTTACTATTCAACGCGGAAACATGGTCAATCTAACAGTTGAGGAATTGAAAGTTTTTATAGGAATTTTATTTTTCTCTTCATATAACCACTTGCCTCAAAGCAAACTTTATTGGTATAGAGGTGAAGACGTACATATTCCATTTGTTGATTGAGCAATGTCAAGAAATTGTTTTGATAAAATAAAATCCTATTTGCATTTTAATGACAATTCAAAAATTGATAACATGGACAAAGCTTTTAAAATCTGCCCGTTTATCGATAAAACTAATGAATCATCACGTAAGTTTGGGATATTTGAAACCAATTTAGCTGTTGATGAAATGATCGTGAAATACTTTGGTCATCATGGAATCAAACAATTTATAAAAGACAAACCAGTAAGGTTTGGATATAAGCTTTGGGCTTTATATGGAGTCAACGGTTATTGTTATAACTTTTTGCTATACACAGGCAGAGATACTCAAACCTTCGATGGCGAAGGTTTAGGTTCAAGAGTAGTAAAAGTTGCTTGAGGTGTATACGGATCCCAGCGCGCATGTGATATACTTCGATAACTTTTTCAGTAGCATACAATTAATTAATAATTTGAAATCTCAAGTGTTTAGAGTTACGGGCACAGTGAGGGACAATAGGAATAAAAAAAATGACCTATCATGACAAAGCAAGAAATGAAAAAAAAACCGCGAGTTTACTCTGACCATCGTTTTGAGAAAAATAATGAAGTTATGCGTGAAATGGCATGACAACAGTGTCGTCTGACTAATTTCAATACTTTTGAACCTTTTGTGAAAACTAATAGATATTCTAAGACAGAAAAGGCTAAAGTGATCGTAAATCAGCCAAGACTAATCCACAATTCCAACCAAAATATGGAAAGTGTTGATAAACATGATTGGTTGATTTCTAAATATCCCATCCGATTCAGAGGTAAGAAATGATACTGGCCACTAGTAATCAGAATCCTAGATATGTTCTTAGTAAATACATGGATTATTTACAACCAGGTTAATAAAGATGAGACCATCTCTCTACTAAATTTCACGCGAAGGTACTTTCAAGGCACTTTCTTCCACGCACAACCACTCTTTGGAATCAACTTCCAGCAGCAGTATTTCCGAACCGATACGACATCATAACCTTCAAGAAAAGAGCATATTCCTTTTTAAAAGGCCGGCAGCACACCTGCAATGCCGTTGGTGTTGTGGGTGACCATAGGCAGCGGTAGTCACTTACTATCAGGTGAGCCGCATGCTCGATTGCCCCCTGTCTTGTAAAAAAAAGAAGGGTTTGTTTTTCTTGGATCAAAAAATCAAAAAGAAGAGCAAGTAAACCTACTTTGGGGTCTTCTGAAATTCTTTTACAACCGATCAGATTTAATAATTTGGACCACAATATAATGAAGAAAGATAAACAACGGCATTGCCAAGGACAAGGTTGTAAAAAAAAACTATTGACTTTTCGTGAAAAATGCGATAAAACACTTTGCAGCGATTGTTTCATGCCTTACCAAACGAAGTAATCTTATGTAATTCCATTTTTTTTAATTTTAATGGGGATAGTTTTAAAATAAAGTTGATTGTCTTATAATTGTGATCTTTCTTAATTTCTGACCATATATTCCCATTGTCATATTTATAGGACAGGTGGTAACAGCAAGTAGCGATAAATTTTTTAAAATTTTATTTTTTATATCTTTTTTCTAATGTACTAAGACCTTAATTTAAAGATAAGAACCAAAACATCCTATTATATCGATGCTTGGGAAGTAATGGGTTAATATCGTCAGGTCGATCTCCACGTGGTCCCTCTTGGAAATCATCGTATTGAATTTCAGGTGTATTCATCACGCCATCGTGAACTAACTAACTGACCTGACCTTATATTTTCACCTATCACCCCTCACTGATGTCCCATCAGTGTATGGTATACCGTTAGCGCAGCTGTGGTTACCATTCCATTATCATCCATTAAAAAAATCCACACAAAAACAGAAATCAGTAACAAATCGAAACATTCGATTACTGAATTTATTTTTTATTTCTACTAATAATAGACATCAGCAGACTGTATTTTGCTTAAGTAATATCTTCATTTGTTTACATTCAGATTGTCTATATGTACGGAGGTTTAGGGGAATTTTAATCGCGATTCTCGGCGGCAAAGCCATGGGTAAAAGCTGATATAAGTTTAATGCTAGAATCAATAGTGGTATCAACCCTAAGCACGTCTGAAGCTCAGGGGCGGCTGTTTGCACAAGTTGCCACCTTGTTGACAATTTGCAACATTCACTCGAACACGAACTCAGTATATTGCGGTTGGATTACTAATAACAATGTTGTTTTGTCAGTTATTAGCACTCACAACAATTGCATTGTATCGACAGTACTTATACGGATGCGCGGACCACAATAAAAGAACGTTTGGGTAGTCAAACAACAAACACTGCAGTGTCTTTTTAAGCGACTCTTCTTAAGAGATTCTCAATTTGTTTGTATTTTCAACCGACTTCAAAAAAGGAGGTTCTCAATTCCTTTTTCAATCCCCAAAGTTTGTTACCATATAACTCCGTCAATTCTAAACCGCTTTTTCTTTTTATCTAAAAATATATACTTACAGAGTGGTCCCATAGAAATTTCATCAAAATCGGTTCAGTAGGTTAGTTCTTAAATCAAAATAGCTGGTTTTGTTACAATTTAAATCGACTTTTTCTGGAGGACAAGCTTAATTATTTTGTGACTACGTTGCACGATTACATCGTCAATTCTGAACCGATTTGGATAATATTTTTTGTAACCGATAAAATTTACTACCATGTCGGTCCCTTAATAATTTCATGACAAATAATTATTAAAAAAAATGTGTCTCCGAACATCTCGAAATACATCAATGTAATATATCACCATTGATGTTACTATGCATAGAACATTTGTACCTAGTTTTTTTTCATAAATAACAGATTATTAAGACAGAAAATAAAAACGACACATGGCTAAATTAAAAAAAAAATAACAGAATATCTATTTCTATACTGGGTATAAAAAACCCCAATAGTGAGCGCTAAAGTCTTAATCTAACGTTACCTGTTAAGAATCAAAAATATATTAACTCACCCCACGCCTCCGTTCAAGGAGGTGACCAGGCCTGGCCGCTCATAACACATATGCATAACAGCAAGTTACAGGCAATCTTTGTACAAAAATCTTATTACAATATCACTGATCACTTCAAATCACTAATATATTTCACTTCACTTTGTACTAGATACAACCTGGATCAATCAACACCGCGTACAAACATTTTGTACTAGTCAAAAACTTATTAATCAATCCGAAATCTTCAAAAACGCACTGTGAAATCGATATAATAAATAAATACTGTTAGGATGGTGTCATTTCAATTCTAGAAATTAAAAGCACTTGATTGCTGCAACCAACTGTAGCGTGCACGCAAGACTATTTTGTTCTGCCTTCTAATTCCTCATTATTTCCTTAAAGCTATTAAGAACCTAATAGATACTTTGTGCACATAAAATTAAATAAAATTATAACTTAATTGAAATATAATGTATTTATAATACATTACTGTCCAGAAAGGAAATAATGCAATTGTTGGGTGACTAATAATGGAGGGATTATGTGAAGTTACCTAATTAACTAATTGTACGTTTACTGATTTTAATGAAGTCATTAGTAACAAAACAATATTATATTTACGGCGTAAGGTAAATTAAAATTCATAAAAGATGACGTCACAGTTCAACCTAATCGCTCCACTGTTGCTATCTAGCACGTAGTAACGTCACTTTTACAAGAAAAAATATTCCAGTTTAAATTCATCCATAATAAAAGATCAATAAAACAACACAAGTCGATTATATCGGTCGTAGCATATGCTTTGATAAAACAGTTCACGGTCAAAAAAACTTGACATTCAATATCTGATAAACGTATAATAAAAACTAAAAAATAAACACCAGATGATATTAAATTAAAATAGATACAAAATATTTATGAATTGATAAAAAGTTTCTGTGCCTCCACGAGGTGTGATCTCGAATTAAGAAACACTGATTACTTGCGAATTTTCCGGGCTGGATAATGATTAATTGTGGGAGCGGCGGGCGTACGCTTTTTGCCTTATTTAGCTGGCATCACAGTAAATAGGATGGGGCTCCCGTTTTTTCGTAGGGTCATGAGCATCCATTACCCGGGTCTTTTGCTGTGTGATTGATACGTGTTTCTCGCCTATTTCCTTGTTGCGATGTATTAGGTGCCACCCCTAATAGAAATCGAGGGTAAACCGTACAAATCTTATTGAATATCTATGGTGTTAGCACCAATATGCAAGGTTAGCACGTATCCGTCGTTATTATAAAACATGACATGCGGGCACACGACACACCTTTACCGATGTCTGTCAAGGTTAACGCGTCAGTTTGAGGAAATTTTCAATACGAGCCAAAAAAACTGTCCTACATACGAGATATATTAACCCAGTTTAAAACCGAGGTCGTGCGACTGTTTTAACAAAGCATTTTAATGAACGAATAGCATCTATTCCCTAATATGAGTCAGAATTCAAGAAATGTTAAACCTGGAGATAATAAACAAAAGAACGTGTAAGATACAAAAAACAAAATTCTCGGAGACATTACAATGAATATTAAAAAGGTAATAATACTGTTTCAAACACCGAATTCCACGTAGCGCACAATTGAGATGGTTCGTACAGATAACACGACCCGTAGAGACATTTCGCCCGACGGTGGGCTTCTACAAGTCCATTCAAAATGACCCCAAACTTGACTATGAACCGGACCGTGAGAAACTAACTAATGCTGTGTCACATCAGATGACCACTGCCACTATAAAACCAACAACCCATTATCCAATTACAGATTCCATTGTCATTCAAAGTTCCGAAGGAGCAAGTAACGATTTATGAGTAACGATGCTGAGCAGCGACTGAATTTAAATTTAAAACATTAAAATTATATTACTGAACAACGCTTATCTGTTTCGACCTTGTATTTATAGATATTAAAACTTAAGATACTGTAAAGAGCTTGTCCGTACAATAACAACGAGTTTAAATTATTTTGTGACTAAATTTAAACTTTGATAGACCACAGCATGTCTGTACTTGAAAGAAAAAATAAATACCGATAAGTCACTTATACTTGTTAAAAACAAGGAAACTAATGAACCAGCAAGTGTTGTAATGAAACTTTAAGAGCAAAAATGTAAAAATAGAAACGTCTTTTATAAAGTATTTTAGAGATACAAAGTTCAATAATATAATGTGAATTATATCGCCGTAAATATTGAAACCGTAATTGCAATTGTTTGCAAAGTAAAATCAGTAATACCACACTGGCGCCACATAGCGGAACAACTGCGGACTAAAGTAATGTACATATTATTATTGCGCGACAAAATGAAGTCACGTCAAATACCTATATTTTTTGATAAGACATGATTGTTCTATTAATTTTTAACTTTAATATTCTTAAAAAAGTTAAATTTGATGTTCTAAAACTAATTTTAAATGAGATAGTACTTCTAAGTAAAGTAAGAGTGATTGTAGCTACTGCATCCTAAGATTTCGATTTTGTACAAATCTATGTTATTGATAATTTGAACTCTTCTGGACAATAAAGTATTACAAACAAACATTGTTAAATTGGATTCTGTAAATGTATCTAATTGATCGGAAAAGGACCATGTTCATCGTTATCGAAACGAGATAACAAGACGTTTGACATTGTCCACAACTGTAAGTACGTGTATATATAGTATTAAAATAGCACTTTCTAATTTCAAGAAGTTAAAAAATGCTAAATTACTAAACTATAATCAGTGGCCAGTAAGTATATCGTAAATCATTCCCAGTTCCAGCAATCAAGTGCGTCATGCATGAGTCAACATCATGAACACAATATTCAACGGTGCAAACATACAAAACCCCGTAGAGGTAGCCGCGTTCGATTCTTACAATCCAACACTGCAATCCAAGTGATCACTGGTAGTCCACACAGATTTCACTGTGTCGCCCAGGCGACTCATACATTGGCAAGGCGTGTTGACAACACGCACGCATTCCGTACACGAATGCAGAACGCATCACGAACGTCGCTCACGTTCGCGCGAAAACGCGCCAAAAGCGAGTTCCACGAGTACCCTTGATGGGAATTCCTAGTGGAGACAAGCCAGTAACGTTCAAACACGACCAATCTGCGGGCGACGACGCGCTCGACTGCCGCCGCGCCGCTCTACGCGGGGCGGGAGCGACGTACGCCGCTCGCAGGTTATCGTGAGTCGACTACACAGATAATGATGTCAAAAGTGGATCGCACTAATGCTCTTTATTATGTTGTAAACGTTCCGAATATCCCAAGACGAGATGCTGAAAATTGCCGCGTCAGCGCTTCCTTAGCATTTGTAACAGATCAATTGAATAATTGTCGCAATCGACATCTAATCTATCGAGATGAACACCAATTGTTATATTAATGATAGAGACAATTATTCTCATTTCAAATCAATATCTATCAAAATTATTTTTTTTATAATATATAAAATGAGCCAATACAACTTTTAATGTTAATCCTTCGAGTCGAATTTTTCTTAATCATAATGATTATAATCGTATTATATTTATAATATATTTAAGATACCATTATCCAGAAAACATAATATGTATTCTATTTTCAAAGGTGCAATTCCACATATTTGTAAATTGTACTAACAAAGAAGTATTAGCACAGAATATCACTCATCGAAGTGAGCGCGCGCCCGACGCAAAACACCGGCCGTAATTTTATTGTCCCACGCTATTTTGCACCGTTAAACAAAAATGATTCTTAACACAAAGCCGGCTGGATAACAAATTGTTTACACTCATAATAAAATCGCGCACTCTTATTCAAAACGAATGTTGATAATTTCACAACCTTCCGAATGTATACCGTAACGTGATTGCATTGGAGTTGTTAACGCACCACCTGCATTAATGCGGATGACACGTTTCGCTTTATGTAGAACTTGTAAGATACTATACAGGCTGTAAAAGTGATCATATTTATAAACAATAATAAGGTCGGTTTCGTTATAAAAGGAGGATGCGGCATGCTATTTAGCATGACATTGTATGTGTATTAAATTTGGTCATTGTTTAATAAATGTTCTAATCGAATGTGGATTTTGCGGTGATTCTTACAAAAGAGTGACTTGGAAAGCGGAAAACGGAATGTTGTTTCCACAGTCATAAACTGTAAACATCCCAAGTATATGGCAGCGGTAGTAATTTTGCGCGTTATGTAATAAAAATCTCAGACGTAATCAACATGGCGTCTAATTAGCACAAATTCTCCGTAAACTTTAATAGTTAACATTTGCTTTTCACATAATAATGTGACTTTGTGACGTCAATTACGTTACAGTCATCGAATCAACTACATGAACTACATGAAGTACTAGGTTTGGGAATCGGAAACTTGGCGAATGTCGAGATATCGGTAGTAAGTGGGCCGTGCATAGATAACTAATTCGCTGTGACCCAAATATCGGGTAGCAAGCGGAGCGGGCCTGCGATGGCGAAGCGGAAATAGGCGGATGATCCCGAGGGAGGAACGAGGGAAATTTTAGGGCCTCAAGGGGAACACAACAGTGTCGTTGGAGGCACTTTCTACGGTTCGTGTGACGCTTGATTGCGATCACCTTGTTTTATTGATGTAGTCGTTGTACTCGCATCCTAATATCCTTATATTCGCGTATTGCGAAGAAAAATAGTTTCAGAACGTCTACAGCGAAGTATCTCAACGTTCGCACAATTAGCAAAATTTCAAAAACAGAAATATTAATTCCTATGTAGGACACTAAAACGATAATCATTCATGAATTCAGAATTTATAAAGTATAAAAAAGTATTTAGAATATTCTAAGTAAGGTGTGCTGCAAAGATGATCATTAAAAATCTTGCATTTCCGTTTTAGTTTACACTATAAAACACTTTTTAAATAATCATTCCGGAACACTGAGAATTGTTTAATCGTTTCTAAAATTTTACAAGCAACCCATCTAAAATATCTACACCCATTTTTCTAAATTCTATTTAGCATAAATATGCTGAAACTCAAATTAATAACATTCTTTAATTGGTCAACTATTACTAACTACTACTACTAACAAACAGTTTAATCAATCAAGAACAAAATCAATGCAACAGATCAATGCAAGAACAAAATTACAGACTTTGTTCTTGCATTGATCTTTTAATTTAAATCTAAACGGTCCCCTTGCCTATAAACATTTCTTGTTCTGTCTTTGATAATTTAATAAACTCTAATATAGCTTTACGTGTCCTTCTATTCCTTTAAAGAACGAAGCAAGTGACGAAAGAATGAAGTTTTTAAATAGTCCAAACAAAATCAATTTCAAACACCAAGTTTGGGAAGATTTGAAAGTTTGTGCTGGATTGTAAGTAAAACAAGATTTTGAAGAACTGAAGAGGTTCGTTTTAAATTGGCGTTCAAATATTTCTGGCCATCCAATGGAAAATAGAGGTGTCGTAAAAACTTATTGTAAATATATTGTGGACTATTCATAAAACATATAATTATAAACATGCGATAAACGTACATATAATCATGCACATATATACAACGTCTTATAATGTGTAGACGCTTTAAGGCGTACTCACGAGCACACCAAAGTGGTTCGTAATTAATTAAATTCAGGATTGTTGGTGTAATTCTGTTTGCGAGGGCATCTGTACTGAATCCAAGTTAAATATGCACCAAACGGTACACCGCTGTGGGAATTGGCCGTACTAAAGAAGAGCATCGCAGGCGCCCTCTTAATGTGATTACATGGTTACACGCGTGCTCATTCGTGCTGCCGTTTTATTGGACGTATGATATACTTGCTCATGTTTTGAACAACTAGGCTTCACGAAATCGTATAATTTCACAGTTTACAAACTAAAACCGATAGTAATGTGTAATTCTCTAAATGTATCATTTAATTCGTTAATGTTTGAAAACAACATTTCTAAAATTAATTCTTTTACATTACCGAAGTGACAAATACATATAAGAATACAGCTTGCCTGCTCAGAAACGATTACTGCAGCTTATGAACCTCTGTTGTTTTTTACAAGTCTTTATCTGCGATTCTGTCCGCGTGAGCATATTGATTGTGGTATACAAACTGTGCATACATACAAAACACAAAATGTGCATATCATATTCTAATGTAATAGCTACCGATTTAATTTATGTGTAATTAATTAAACACGTCACAGTCGCTCATGACTAATGTACACGAATTGATCCCGAAACTAGTCAAGTTTTTTCTATGTAATTACACGTAGGTTAAACCGGTAGTTATTACATTAAAATATAATGTGTTTTTGCAAAACTTTTAAAAATAAAACTACCATATTTTATTATGATTGATTTAGGACCCTTAATACATAATTATATCCATACTACAGCATAGAGTTCTTCAAAAGGGGGGTAAAGGTGTTTTTTCAGTGTCGGCAACGCGCGCGTAATACCTCTAGTATTGCAGGCGTTCATAGGCTACGGTAACCACTTACCATCAGGTGGGCCGTATGCTTGTTTGCCACCTCAGTGGTATAAAAAAAAATCATATCTTTTGCTTATCGAAGTGTGGCAAGTCTCAATTACCTGTCAATATTAAAAAACTAATCATTACCAACGTCTCTAATTGATTACTTATTTAGCCATCCCTTGCTTTCCCGTAGATGTCGTAGGAGGCGACTAAGAAAGCTTAAGGGTAGAGGAATGGTCAGCAGCATCTCTCTTTAAACATCTCCAAAGCTTAACTGCGGTTGCCAACCCGCCTGCCAAGCGTAGCGACTACAGGCAAAATCTCCCTTAAGGGGGAAGCCTTGAGGTCTATATTCGACAGTGATATGAATTAAAATCGTCATGAACGCTTTTAAATAAAAAAAAAAAACTCGCATTCCCTTTTATAATACATAAGGACGAATACGTAAGGACACGTTCGATAAATAAATAAATTAACAAAAACAGATTTAAATTATAGTAAAATAAAGGACTACGAATATTAACAAAGCTATCTACTCCTTCAATGTTTTATACAATCCCTGATTATATGAACAATCACTTGCTACAAATCAATTGATTAATAGATTGTATGAACATATCAATATGTGATAAGATACGTATTTACAAATGGACGATAGAAAATTAAAAACGACACTGGACACAAAGCGAACCCGCAATTTTTTTAAAGGGTAAAAAAGGATATAGCGACCACACCTGCCCTATCGGTACACACTGGTGGGGCACCACTGAAGAATAACAGATGAAGATGTAGCAAATCAGCCCATCGTGGCGAATTTTACTATAATTAATTAAGTGTGGAGGTGATTGAACCGCGAATCTAATAAGGTATATTGCTAGCAATGAGGTAGTTAGTACCTTATTACTAATAATTTTCTTTTTTATAGTTTTATCTTTAACCCTTAAATACCTGAAGTTTCAAATTTGATACCGGGGTTATAAATCGCATTGGGCGTCTACTATCGATTTTATTTTAATATTTGGCTGTTTCCATGTTACCAAATGTTTTTTTTTTCAAAATAAATATATAAAAATATCGTTTTGATTTTTTACTATTTTTCCCCATTAGTAAACACAGTAAAGGGTACATTTAAATATTTTTAAATTTGATTTAAAAAATCAGGCTTTTAAAGGTTAATATATTTATATAGCATTTTATGTATTTCCTTTTTCTATATGTGCTTGTGTTTACATGAACTACTCAAGCTGTGCACATAATGTAATTGGATTGTAACCTAGCTGTATCACAAATGTAACTGCTATTTAATTTTTTTTTTTTATTGTTATGATCTGTTTTATGTGTCTAACAAATAAAATAAAGCAAATTAAAAAATTGTTTCCCTCCAAACACGTGGAGGGAACTTACTTCAGTTTCCTTTAATTACGTAAAAAAAATCGTTGATTAGCAAAAAACTTACTGTTTATACTATGTTATTCCTGTACAGCACGTGTACTATCCTCCGAGTACTTTTTTATCCGTCATGAAAGTTACACATTAACACACACAACATTGAACCGCGTATTATTAACATGTGTGCATTATTGCTACAGTGCACACATAGTACACTATGAAAATATGCGGCTCAGACAAAGGGAAATTATATTCTCTAACAACTAGGACTAAACGTTTG